TGGGAGACAAGTGGGAGACAAGGGTGAAATCATGCGGCCAGGAACACAAGCCCGGAGACAAACTCAAAATCATCCGGCCCGAGCATGCACCCCCCTAAAAGGAGTAAGAACCCCTCACAGGTAAACCTGTTTGGGGAAAAATCAGGTAAACCATGAACACAAACCCACATTTGGATACACTTGGACACACCACTGATCTAAAGGCCACTGATAGAGAGAGGGGTGCCGGTGACTTTTGGTAGAGCAAAGTCCGCCATACTTGAAGCCCGGATCAGCCAGGGAAAGCGATCAAACACCAGTTGCATGGCTTCACTGAGGCACAAGAGGAGGATCGAGACCCTCGAAACCGAGGTGTGATCCGTCCACATCGGAATTGTCCGGACGCAGTCCTTTTTTCCTTCCTGGAGAACGTAGGGGAGTCGAGGAGTTTCGACAGAGGCCGCCTCTCAAGTCTGATCGCAACAATGGCACCACTAGTAGCTGCTCCTACGAATAGTCCTCGATAAATGCCTTCAGCTATGGCCTCTGCCAGAAATTGCCCTCAGCCACAGCCCTTAAACAGGGACGGGTAAAGACCTGTCCGGGTTCCTGTCCGGTGTTCGATGTCTTTTGGAAAAGTCAACTGTTGAGAAGTGGAGAGGGCATCGTTACTAGGAACAAGGGCATCGCTACTAGGAACAAGGGCATTACTACTAGTATATAGCAAGAAGCTACTAGTAACAAGGGCATCGCTACTAGAGGTGTGCGTTCACCTGAGGCGTTGAATTGGGGAGTCTTTAGCGCTAGAAAGCCAGTCCACGATCGGGTGTCGGGCGAGAGGACTTTACGCCCTTCTACCAAACTTCAACCCCGAAGAGCTGTGTTCAATCATGATGGTGCATGATGCTTTGTGGTTGGTCATCTACATCACGCAATTTTCTGTTCCCTTCAACTGTTGTCTCCTTTTTTGATGTGCATCAAGACTCCTAGCATCGAGGTGAACCGGCACGGAAATCCTCACGGCTGGCCCTTGATCCGAGACGACCTGTAGCGATTGTCTCTTCAATTCAATGAAGGTCTGTCTGAACCCATCAAGGCACCACTGTGTGAGGGACAGACTACTTGGCCTGACCAGGTGCATGTTCGCTTTTTTTGTTTGTGGATAAATACGTGTAGCCAATATTCTTTTTCCATGGGTGTGTCTCCGAATGGATTCCCAAATCAAAGAAAACTAATTTTTCTTGTGCTTGCCCTACCACCAGTGCGTGTGATCATCCAAATAAGGTAGCAAAGGATCCCCTCCTACTCCCAGCTCAAGCCTCTGTCGTGAGCAACACGCGCTGAAGGTGCCACTGACTGATGAGCAACAAGAGAGAGTGCCATCCTCAGTGGTTTGGACCAGAGACAAATCCGTGTCTTTTCGTTTTGGTTCGTTTTGTATCTTTTCTATTGGATTTGTGGGATTTGAGCACCTCATTGATCCCATGGTCGCGGACCCCGGGACCGCGAAAAAACGTCGCACGGACCGCCCAGGTGGTGGCCTTGTTCGAAGAGCTCCGAGAGGACTTTCCCAAATCGGACTCCCTCAAGCGGTCCGGGTGGCCCAGCGGACGGAGGCAGGTGGAAACCAAAGCACAGTCACCTGTGCAGTGCAGCTGTGCAGCGGCCTGAAGGGAAGAGTATGGAGCTGATGCCAACAGGAAACCATAGCATGTTTACATCACATGCTTTTTCCACAGACTTCGCGGCTTCGCCATATAATTGGGCATGGTAATTGCCAACCCCCGAAACGGTATGTCTTGAGGTCTGAACATGCATGGGTTGCTCACCCCTGATGGAATTTTTCAACTTTTTGCATCTCTTTGCATCAGGCTACCCCTCTTCTTCATCACCGGCCCACGTTTTAAGCGGAAGTTAGACGAGTACCTGCGCGCGAGGCTGCGGAAAGGCCCGGGGCGAGTGGTTGGTGCTTCAAAGCGCAGGAAGCATCATGGGGGTGTTTTTCTCGCATGGCACACACGTTTTTTCTAGGTCTCTATGACTCCGCCAGAAAGGAACACTTTCACCGGGGGTTGTTCACTTCCAGTTCTTGTTCCGAGCGTAATTTGGGCATGGAATTCCAACCTGCAGTGCGACGCACAGATCGGAGGAGGGTCACCGGGTGCCGTCCTTCGCCGTATCGAGCCCCCGCCTCCTTGGGTAGGCGTGCCGTCGCTCTTCCGTACCCTCCGGTCCTACTACTACTCGCCGGGGGAGCCCGAGACGTTGTTGAGCCGCATTTTGGGGGGTCCTTTGGAGAAGTTGAGAAGATGAGTCAGAGAGACAAACGGCGGTTGGTACGGGCTGAAGGGCCTGGCTCCTGGCTCCTTGCTGAAAATGGCAGATTTGCACTGAAGCTTTTTGTGAAGATTTGTGAAGATAGATGGACCAAATGAACTGACTTGTTCGGAGTCAGACTGATTTTCAGGAGCATCTTTTTTTGCTTTGCTGGCTGTGTTGCATAATTCTCTAATGAAACCTTAGAATTCAAGAACTTCCGACGCTTCTTGCTGACGCTTGTGTTGCACAAGTCAGGGCAATCCCTTAAAACTCGTTTGAATCGTTTTGTTCAGAATGCTTGGAACATGCCATGGGCCATCCCATCACGCTTTCAAAACGTTTTGTCAAGAGCTTGCGACTTCAATCTTTCGTCTAGCAAGCTCCGTCCTCCGGGGGCAGAATCGAGGCCAGAGAAGCCGCAGCTGTGGTGCTGGCAAGTCGTTCAAAAAGAGGGTTGAGAGTAGATGGCACGATACGCAAGAGGTGGTTTATATGGACCCCCGTCAAAAAGACTTCTTGGGGTTTCTGCCATCTAGTCTGAAACCACTGTATTTTTTCAATTTTTTGCGCCGGACGCCCTGCAGACCGGACCCGACAGATTTTTGTTGACCTCTATATAATGGACGTGAGCGGGAGGGCTCTGGCACAGTTGGACCACTGAAAAGATCATAGGGGATGGAATTCTTGGACCAATACCTGGACCCTCCGAGATTCACCTGGTGTTCGGGCCCGCAAACCTGGATCCGGATGTGTTGTGGGGACCATGTGAGACCATGAGAGAGAAACACTGCCAGGGTGGAGGAACTCCTGCTGCAGTACGCGAAGTGTCTGCGGGAGGCGCGGGTGGAAGCCGACCATGGTCCGTGGAAAGCCGACGGCATCTGAGTCATAGAGTCACAGGTCCCAGATAGATCGCAACGTCTTCCAAATGCATTGGAGGGGACTTGATCAACTTACGGGCCACAGACTGTCCGGATGACTGCGAAAAGGAACCATGCACCCGTAGCGCAGGTCTTTCAGGAGGCTCCAAGAACCATGCACCCCTAGACCTAGCCTGCACATCGGGGAGTTGGAGGATGCAGGATGATCCCACGGCCGACCCTTGGCATTCCGCGCGGCCGGCACCTCCGACCCCCGCGTGCGCGGATCGCGGATCGCGGAGGACATCTCTTGGTCGGCCCACTCAGCTGGTGCAAGGGGCGGAGCGAGACATTCGTCTTGGAAGAAGGGGAGTCGGTCTGGCTCAACTGGCTCAACAGCAGTAGGTTTTGGGTGACCAGTGAACAATAATCTTTCCTCACAGGTCCAATCACGCTGACGTCTGACGCGAGTTGGTTGGTTGTTCCTTTCGGAAATGGACGACTCTTTGCATGCAGAAGGACATGGTTTTTCCATGCAATGCCATCCGCTTTCATGTTATATACAAATCAACCCTAGGAGAACCATGGCTTGGATATTATCACGCAAGCAAAGGTTCCTTGCTTGGCATTTGCAAGACTTTCTGTAAACATGAAGCTGGGAACCAGAGGCTGATCGTGGCATCTTTATTTCGCGGTTTGAAACCAGGTTTTGATGGATGGGTCTCTTCAGATCTCTTTTCCCTGCAAACATCGGTCGCTGCGGTGCCGTGTGTCATCCCGGTGGGTAACAGCGGCCTTCGCATCCAAAGACTCACTCACCACAGAGTGCGAAGAGACGCACTGTTCCTCGGATCGGGGGCATCATCAGTTGGCACGCTGCAAAAGGGGACGTCAACTAGCTGACATCGAGTTGGCCGTGCCGGGTGGTTGCCTATTTCACTCCCTGAAAGAATCCTGGTTACGTGGAGATTGCCAGCTGCTTGGTATGCGGAACATGGCGTCCCTGGCACGCGATCCGCACGCGAGACCCGCACGGAGCTCTCGGGCGATCAGGTTTGGACCTCTCAGTGGAGAGCAAAGTGAGCCTCCCAAGGTGCGACAAGACGGCAAGAGCAAGGAACAAGAAGCTACTAGGGGCTCCTGGCATCGCTACTAGGAGCAA